GACTATTGGGAGTGATTGGTGGCTCAGAAGAAAATTATTTCATACTAGTTAGAATAGGTGAATAGATTACTTCTTTTCTTTTGGAATGTTCGGATAACTTATGAGCCGTCTCATATAATTTCAGTTAACACGAGATCATATTTTTCTTAATTGTATTTATAATAAACATTACATCATGTTTTCTAATTGGTTATCTTTTGACATAAAACTTAGGCACCTGCTCGAGTAGAATCGCCAGAACATTGTGCTCGAGTTATAGGTAAGCAACCCTGAACCTATTCCAACCTTCATTCATTTACTTGTTAATTATAGCATTTTTGTATTCTCTAACTTTGACTGCAGATGCAAACATAAGACTTGAGCGGAAGAGTGGAATATTGATAGCAGTCCCCATTCCAAGGGAGCATTCTGCTTCTGGACATTTGATTGAGTCGGCAATACAGCAAGCTCTCCAAGAAGCACGGTAAGTCTGCTGAATCCTTCTTTATTTACGGAAGCACATGGTTCTTTGAACCTTAATTGCCTTTTCCACATGCTTCTGACATATTAATGGTGGGATGGAATTGCAAACCTCAGAGAGAAGAAGATAAGTGGCAATGCGGAAACTCCATTCTTGCTTGCAAGAGTGAACGAACTTACTGGTGGAGCATCTCTGGCTTCAAGTATCCTTTATCTGATGTTGCTCTATGCTATTTAGTTTGCAAATCATTCATTAAGTCTGGGTGGAGAAAGAAAAATTTCACAATAAATTATTTTAATCATCTGTTTAGTACAACCTGAATTGAATTATTTCTTTCAGTTTGTCCCATCTTTCGAGTTTCTTTAATGAAGTTTCAGACATTGCCCTCGTGAAAAATAATGCCTCTGTTGGTGCTAAAATTGCTGTTTCGCTGACCCAGCTTCAAAAGCATAGTGGTAAAAGGTTAGTGTACCTCTCTGTTATCATTTCTTCTTCTTTTCAACTGAGAATTCTCTCAGATTGCAAAGAGCAACCAAAAGGAAAAGCTAAGCTGATAAACCACGTTGTGTTTCAAGTAGGACACTTGGAAGTCAATAAGGTTACGCTATTACCATAATGCCCCCAAAGAAAATTTTATTTACCGGAATACCCTTGGTCGTCCAAGGAACCTTTCACTTATTATATAGTTAAATAATGGGTTGATTGCAACCTTTGATTTCAAATTCCAATGATATGTGCTAACAAAAGCGGGCGTTGTAACTTCACAGGTTGTAACACTTGGCTTTCGCTCATTGTTCAAGATTCCTCACTGCTGCCCCCGTGGGAGTCCGGACTGTGTCTCAATGCCAGTGTGGCTGATCATCCGAAAAGATATTTGCCCTTCTCCCTATGATTTCAGCTAAGCACTTTAAGCTCCGAGTCTGAAGGAAGCATGTCATCAGCGATATAAGCTTGTCTTTGCTCCGTTGGGAGTACTTTCCCCAATGATCCCCATGTATAGAGAAGTTAAAGACGGTCTCCTGGCTGATCAGGTGGTTGAGTGTGTGCGCGCCTATATATATATAGGCGTGTCGTGTGTGTAGAATGTTAAATGGCCTCTGAGCCTATGTCTATCCCATTTGACTAGCATTGATCAAACCATTTGAGAGATAATGCTTTAACCTTTTACCTATCTTCAAGAGAATGAACCTCAAGTTTGTTTTTCCTAATTTGAACTACCAACTAGTAAATTTCTTGTTCAGAATACCGTTTCAGATATTTCAAGAAATTCCTTTCATCTAATTATATATGAAAGTGACAATTACGTTTAAATGGCTCGAAAGCTAAAAAACAACGAATATGCGGGCAAGATTACTAGATTAGTAGTAGTATTATTTTATAGTATACAGATCGATAATTTTCTCTAATATTGATCTTTGAGGCATAAAGATACAGCACATGGCAAATAATCGACAAATGAGTCGACTCAAATCTCGTAGAGTTAAGTTGGGGTAAAATTAAAAAATAGCTAGATTTACAAGTGGTAATTGAAAAATAGTTACAGTTTCAAAAGTAATTGAAATTTAACCACTGTTCATATAAAGATAAATCTGAACAAAAACACTATTCAAAGTCCGAAAAATATTCTAGCATAATATGTTGGAGTTCGAATTTTTTATATGTGAATTCCAGTATAACATGCTGGAAGTTCATACACAGGTGTCCATTCTCTAATATATTATTCTGAAACTTTCCGTGTTCCAGTTCATACAGGTGTTCCAGTCTCCAGTATATTATGTTGGACCTTTTCGTGCTGCAGTAAAATAGTGACTATTTTTTAATGACTTTGCAAACGCTGGATATTTCTCAATTACCAATCAGAAAGTTGGCTAATCCGTGCTATTTTAACGTTAAGTTGGTTGGGGCCTGGGGTGTTCACAATTATTATTGTCAATTACTCGTTCTGTTCTATTTTCTTTGACTCTATTTTATATAATATTTTTTAAATACTTTTTTTTATAGCAACACAAATACTATGATTTATTTAAGATTATAAATTTCGAAAATTTTATAACTACACAAACAATATGGTATATTTAAATTTTTTAATTTTTTTTCTAAAACTTTGTGTTAACAAACTATAACCAAAATAAAATAAAATAAAACGGGAGAGTATTAATTTGGAGGTGCCAACTAGGTGGCGTTTACTTCAAAAGTTTGAAAAAGAAAGTCAATTTTATGAGTGCAATATAGCTGGCCAGCTGCAGGGAAAGTTCTGGTATTGAACGAGTCAAAGAAAGATAACAATTTGTGGTTCTTCACATCTTTTTCCTCGCACGTTGAACATCAACTGTAATAATTTTAACTTTTATCGATCATGATTACGGTGGAGTGATAAATGATCTCGGGCTTGAGCCTTGGGTATGGAATTGCTTTTATTAGAAAGTCTTTTAATTTATCTCGCAATGTGAAATTTTTCTATGCAGATATCAGATAACGAGTAGCAGGGATGGATATAGTATTGTATGTACATATTCAATTGAACCCATAATTTTTTATGCGGTGCGTAAATTTGTACATAAAAATTTACTAAAATTATAAAAAATAGTAGACATGAATCCATAATTCCAAAAATATTTAATGTTAACAATTTTAATGTTAAACCCATAAAATTTAAATTCTGAATCCGCCTATGCCGAGGAGAAGACTTTCGACTGTCTGCATACAATAAAAAGAAGACTTTAAAAAATCCATTGTTATTCGCACTCCTCTTATAAATCTGCTTTCTCCTTCTCGTCCTAATTCAGGACAACGCATGCAAGACGAAGAAAGAGGCAAGTACTTCTGCATTTCTCATTCTATATTTGCACAATAAATTAATTACATTCTTTGCTACCTATTTTTCCTTTCTATTCCTTATTACCTCAAGACTACAAAATTATATCTTTGAGGAAATTATTATTCGTAGCGATTTACTCTCTTAGTTTGTTTATCTTGCTATACTCTTACTTTTCTGTTTCAAAATTAGTTTTTAGTGGAATAACTACTATTACCTACATGTAAACTCAAGATAATTGGAGTCGGCTATATGACTCGTCACTATCAATTTATCACTCTATAACATATTTCTCTTGTGTTTCCATTTCTTAACTCATCTCTCTCTTGTTGAAATTACAGTTTTAAGAAAGTTATCGAATTAATTAGAAGAATGTCACATCATATTGAGATTACACAAATGGATCATCAAATTCCACTTCTTTATCAAACTTCTGTAAATGAAGCTACAGACAATGAGGTACACACACTCTCTCTCTCACACGCAAAAACAAGCTATACTTCTTTAATTCTGTTTACTAAGGTCATAAGATGTTTTACTAAGGTCATTCAGTATAATTACATAGTTTGCATTAATTAAAACGAAAAAACTTGTAATAATTCATGAGAGATGTACCTGACTCCCAAATAAATATTTGTATCAGGTCAACTTACTCTCTTAAAATTTTAAGTCAATGGTCTGACTGGCCGGGGCGGAGGGAAGAAATTCAAAAATAGCCAGATTTACAACTGGTCGTTTAAAAATAGTCCAGTTTCAAAAGTAATCGAAATTTAGCCACTTTTCATGTAAAGATAAATCTGAGCGAAAATACTGTTCAAAACCCGGAAAATACGCCAGTACATAATGCTGGAGTTCCGGCAAGTATACCGGTCCAACATAATATACTGGAGTTTGGAGCACCGGTGCTCCAGTCTCCAATATATTATACTGGAGCCAGCAAAGTATACCGGTCCAACATAATATACTGGAGTTTGGAGCACCGGTGCTCCAGTCTCCAATATATTATACTGGAGCCAGCAAAGTATACCGGTCCAGCATAATATGCTGGAGTTCATACACAGGTGCACCAAATTCCAGTATATTATGCTGGACCGGTCTCTGACTCTATTGCAGCAAAATAATGGCTATTTTTTATTGACTTGGTAAACGCTGACTATTTTTGAATGACCAGTCCAAAAACTGGCTATACCGTACTATTTTTATGGGGCGGAGCCAATGAAGAATTTATGGTTTATTTGGACCCAGTAACTTCGACTTAGGCCCTGTATATATATATGTTAAAAATCCAGCTAAATAAGTGCAAAAAGAGAATTTGAACCCAGTAAATTAGACGCGATGTCGTAGAATTCTTAATTTGAATCCAAAAAGTTCAAATCCTGCATCCGCACATCCACTGAACAACAGTTCTTTGTCTTACTATATTTAGAATAGTGGTCAATTCTTCAAGGGTTATATTCGTAACTTAATGTAATGTTATGTCCACACGGTGATATTCTATCTTTTCAATAAAAGAAAAATCAATTTATCCTAATTTTGAAGCAAGGTGATATAAATTCTGGGGAAGAATATCATAAAAGACTTTTAAGGAAAGAAGTTATATATGTTGTGTCCTTCACTTTTATGCTATCATTTATAAGCTAAGTAATACTTAATTTTTTTTATTATTCTTTTTCATTAATTACAGATTGAAGAAGGGAGGAAAGTGGATTATTTAATCGACATAGAGGAAACAAATGGTCAAGATCAATCAAGGTTGCAAGCAATTAAATCTGCAAAGCAAATATATGATAGAAATTTTAAGGATTTCAACAATCCGTCTATTAAATCAACTACCATATTCAAAGTAAGTGCAGGGTTAAGTGAATCAAATCCAAATGCTTATAAGCCAATGTTGATCACCATTGGCCCTTACCATAAACACAATACTGAACTTCGGTCGATTGAGAAGTATAAACTGATGTACCTACAACGGTTTCTCCGAAGGAAAGAAGGGATTGATGTGGAAAGTTATATCAGAGAAATGGAAGAACTGAAAGATGAAGCGCGTAAGTGTTATGATAATATACATGACTTTTATAATGATAATATTGGTGAATTTTTGCTGATGTTATTGCTTGATGGTTGTTTTGTGGTTGAGTATATTCGAGAGTGTTGTGGAATAATTCCAACAGGAGAAGACATAATTATCAGTGGAGGTTGCTTAGATAATCAAGTACGTCGAGATTTGTTGTTGCTAGAAAACCAACTTCCTTTCTTTGTCCTCGCCAAACTTCATGACATGACAATGGATATTGATCAAACATCATTCATAATAATGGTGAAGTGTGCCTTTCTTCCTTCCCTACCAAAGATTACTCCTGCATCCTTTGTTGAGAATGAAGGTAATGCCAAAAATATCAAACATATACTTCAATTAGTACACATGTCTTGCCACCCTTCAGATATGAATAATCCTAGCATTGAAATCGAACATTGTGGGAAAAGCTTAATATGGATTGACATTATGCCAAATGCAACAGAGCTTTGTGAAGCTGGAGTTAGTTTTACAAAGGTTGGAACTGTTTATACTTATTTGGAGGAAGACAACTTTGAAGATTGCACAAGTTTATTTGACATTAAATTCGAGAATGGATTGATGAAAATTCCTTGTTTCGAAGTCGTTGATGATACTGAGACTATCTTGAGAAATCTCATAGCTTACGAGCAACAGTCACCTAATGAACATTCTAGATATTTCAGTGATTATGCAGTTTTCATGGATCATCTTATCGACTCAGAAAAAGATGTGAATTTGCTTCGCTTAAAAGGAGTTATTAGGAACAGGATAGGAGAGGACAAAGAAGTGGCTAACTTATTTAATAAAATTGGGAAAGGGGTCTCTATTTCATCTGATTTCTATTACAAAGAAGAATGCAGAAAAGTAGTTCAACATTGTCAAAAACCATGGAACAGAATGAAGGCAAATTTGAGGCACAATTATTTTCATAGTCCTTGGGCTGGAGTTTCAACTGTGGCAGCAATCATACTCCTCTTACTTACAGTTATACAAACAATTTTATCTTTTATAAGTGTTCTAATTAAGTAGCCTCTTTAATTAATTACATGCTATGGTTGATTAATTTTGTTAATCTTTAGCTATTGTGTTATGGCTTAATAAATTGGCTCAATCTAGAATTACAATTTTCAGCCTAACTCTTCTCACACTTGGAAGACTTGGACTTTCAGCAACTCTGTATACAATATAGGTTTGTGACAATTCTTCGAGTGAGCAATACTTTTGTAGTTAGGTACCGAGTTCAAAAATGAAATCAACTCAATTTAGAACAGAGATCTTAAGAAAAAGAGAGATGAATAACTTTTTGAAATAGAAACAGATCAGTATTGTAACAACCGAACCCACTAATGATACTATTCGCTTTGTCCCTCGCACAACTTTAAAATGCGTCACTAGGGTCTAAGGCTTATTTACTTATAGATCCAGCATCTCTCCCGTATTTTGACGATGTAGAATGCGCCTGAGATGTCGTTGCATGTAAAGTGGCTCTGATGCAACAGGTAACATCCCAACCCACTAGTGATATTGTCCGCTTTGGACCTAGACTCCCATGACTTTAAAACATATCACTAGAGTTTAAGGCTTGTTACTTAAATATCCAATATTTCTCCCGTATTTTGTCGATGTGAGATTTACCTGGGGTGTCACAACAACAGATCTTACATATTTATGCTAGTGATTTTGTTCAAAAATTAATACTATTTCATAGTTCTATAGGATAAACTATGATATGACACGTGGCTGTCCAAAAAAGGGACACGTGGAACCCAAGACGGGGGATGGCCGAAGACCGAAAACTGAAGGCAACTATTCCGCTTGTCATGAAAAGAATAACACTCATAAAGATGTGATGAATGCTCTGCGCCCGGTAGTATTTAATAAAGAATATACTCCGGTATTAAGAGCGATTACCCGTTATAGGTAATTTGACATTTATGCTCACCGTTACTTCTTTATTAATGACCCTCATAATTGATATTAAAGAAGGGCACCATTCTAGGTACTCCTTTCCTAGACATAGAAGTAAATAGTGAGATCAGTATCATTGTAAAGGACACGAATTTTCTAGCAAACTTACACTATATTTAATACAAAGCTTAATACAATCTTCTTTTCTTACTTTTTGATTTTATTGTTATTGTGCCCGAAAACCCTTCTGGAACTGTTGCTTCTGCTATTTCGTCTACATCTTAAGGCTAAGTATTGCATAATTCTTCAATTATTTTATTATTTCAGGATCAAATTAATTCACTTGTTTAGAAATTACGTATAAATTTAACTGTACCATTTTACGGATAAACAGTTTAGCACCCACCGTGGGGCTTAGACAGCCATGCAATTAAATTGATCCTTGCCTTTTTTACTAATGTGTTCTGATTATTTTGTCTTAGAAAAATTATAAGAAATGGCAGATAATACTATTAACAACACGCACAATCCCAAAATTCGAGGGGATCAACCTCATTTTGAGGATTCAATCAGTGACACCCACAATGATGGGAATGGAAACATATCGGTGAATGAAAGGCAATATCCTCGACAGGTTCGAGAGACAAGTACTGATGAGGGACATGTCATTGACACGGTAAGGGTCTTGTAAGATCAACAGGCGGTCATTCTAGGCCACCTCACACAACATAAGGTTATGACAGAGTTGAAGCAGGCGCTGTCGGGGGCTTCGAATAATGCAAACAGATGAGATCTAATTCCTTTTGATGTTCCTGCAAACCAGACAACGCAGAGGGTTGACAAAACACTCTTAGGGGTGAAGTTGGCTCCGATGGGGGGTGGGGGGAGCGGATCCGGCCTGAATAACGAGAACAATCCTTTCAAGAATGAACTTTTATGCTTTATGAGGGAAGTGAACGCCTGCATGGACAAAATCCTAGACGCGCCACCAGTGCTGAAAGGTCCGGACTCAAAGAAGTATACTCAATTGACACACAAGCCAAGTGCGGTACCAAAATTAGTTCTGAACCGGATCAAAATACCTGAAGCGCCAAAGTATGACGGAACTTTAGACCCTCAGGAGCATATTACCACCTACACAATGGCAATGAAGGAAAATGATTTCGCTCCTCATGAAATTGATTCTGTGTTGCTAAAGAAATTTGGAGAAACTCTCACGAGGGGGGCCTTGACGTGGTATTCATTGTTACCCGAGCATTCCATAGAATCCTTTGAAATTCTCACAGACTCTTTCATTAAGGCTTATGCCGGGGACAAAAATGCATGCGCGAAAAACTGACATATTCAGGATTGCACAAGGAGAGTTCGAGTTACAATGAGAGTTCGTTACCCGGTTCCAGAAAGAGAGAATATTGCTCCCAGCTGTCCTGGATGAATGGCTAACTAAAACATTCACCAAGGGATTGAATCCGAAAAGTTCAGACACTTCCCATAAACTGAAAGAAAACATGCTTGAGTTTCAAGCAACGACCTGGGCAGATGTCCACAACCGGTACGAATCAAAAATAAGGATTGAAAATGATCAGGTTGGTTTTCCATCATCGACCAAAGGACGAGAGAAGAACAAAGAAAAATTAAAGGATGATTACGACATGGACAGACAAAATTTGAGGGGTTGGTTTTTGTCCAACAAACGGACCGAAGGCCGTGGGAGAGGCTTTCGGATAGTGGACAAGTTCTCCATTGACAAGAGGACTAATCGCGGTCGGAACAATAGATCACTACAGGATAACGAAATGATAGGGTCATAGGACCCTTCTTACCCCAAGTTATCGGAATATAACTTCAACCATCAGTATAGTGGAATTCGTGTCAGCCATGATAAACATCAATGAGGCATGGTTCCTGAGACCAATGAGATCTGATCTCAGCTAGAGGGATCCTAACTTATGGTGTGAATACCATAGGATGAATGGCCACCAGACAGGGGACTGCCGACACCTCCGGAAAGAAGTGGCAACATTATTGAAGATTGGTCACCTCAAAGAATTCTTAAGTGATCGAGATAAGAACAATTATGGTTGTAACCGGGACAACGCAGAACCCTCAAAAGCAGGAAAAGATCTCTCATGCCAAATGATCAACATGATCTTTGGAGGGAATGAGATTAACAGGGTCGCCTTTTCGGCAGCAGAGAAGACGAAAGTATCAATAACTCATAGTAAAAGGCTCCGGGGAAGATGATATCACTTTTACCGAGAAGGATGCAGACGGATTGCTACTACTACACAACGATGCACTGGTAATTTCTTTAAATGTGCTAGATTTTAAGATTAAACGTGTTCTAGTGGATCTAGGAAGTTCGGCTAATATCATACAATGGAAAGCATTGGAGCAAGCTAAACTCACAGGTTAAGCTTGGATCCCAATGTATCTCCGGTAAGACAAAAGAAACACCATATTGCCGAAGCGAGGAATAGATTCGTCAAAGAAGAGGTAACCCTCTTACTTAATATCAGTTTGATCCTAGAGGTAAGATATCCAGACTGGTTAGCCAATGTAGTAGTAGTTCCTAAGAGGAACAATAAATTTTGCATGTGTGTAGATTATAAAGACCTTAATAAGGCGTACCCGCAAGACTCATTCCCACTTCCAAACATCGATCAATGATTAATGCCACGTACGGGCAAGAGTTAATGAGTTTCCTTGATGCTTATTTCGGGTACAACCAAATTAAAATGAACCCGGAAGATCAGTAGAAGACTTCATTTATAATGAATTTCGATACATATTGTTACAATGCGATGCCCTTCGGGTTGAAAAATGTCGGAGCCACTTATCAACGGCTCGTGAACATAATGCTTGAAAATCAAATAGGAAAAACTATGGAAGTTTATATGGACGATATGCTCATTAAGTCTTTGAATGCAGGCGATCACCTTAAACATCCGCAAGAAACTTTCGACATCCTGAGGAAGCATAATATAAAACTTAATCCCAGAAATACGCGTCCATGGTTAGCTATGGTAAGTTTCTGGGATTTTTGTTATCACAAAGGGGGATTGAGGTAAACCCCAATAAGATCAGGGCCATAGAAGACATCCCGGACCAACTGTCAAATGTGAAGGAAGTCCAAAGGTTCACGGGGAGATTGGAAGCTTTGAGCAGGTTCATTTTTCGGTCATCAAAAAAATGTCATCGCTTCTTTGCACTGCTCAAAAAGAAAAATAATTTCGAATTCACCCCGGAGTGCTAGCAGGCTTTGAGGGATTTGAAGAAGTATTCCCTCAATTGCTTTCAAAACTAAAAGACGATGAAATGTTGCTAGTTTAACTTGCGGTCTCGGAAGTTACGGTAGGTGCGGTTTTTGTCCGAGAGGACGAAGGTACGTAATCTCCCATTTATTATGTTAGTAAAATTTTAATGAGAGTAGCTACCCACATTATGAGTGAGAAACTGGCCTTAGCTCTCGTAGTTGTCGCTCGGAAGCTGAGGCCCTACTTCCAATGCCACCCGATAGACATGATGTACTTTCCTTTTTTGGAGAATCCTTCATAAACTCGAGCTCTCGGGTAGATTGGCCAAATGGGCCGTCAAATGAGTGAATTCAACATAGAATATAAACTAAGGACTACAATTAAGTCGCAAGTCTTGGCTGACTTCATGGCCGATTTCAGTCTGGGATTATTGCCTTTGGCAACCAAGAAGGCAGTAATGGTGTCGGAATTGACATCGGGGGTTAGGACCTTATTTACAGACGGAGCTTCCAACGCAAAAGGGTCCGAGCTCGGAATAGTTTTAATCATGCCTTCGGGGGAAACCCTAAGGCAAGCCATCAGAATGATCCCTTTAACTAACAATGAAGCAAGTATAAAACTTTGATTGTTGGGCTCGAATTGGACCGTGGACTTGACTCTGAGGTCATCGAAATCAAATGCGACTCACAACTGGTGGTAAATCAGGTCTACGAGATCTTCGAAACCAAAGAGGAGCACATGCAACAATACATAGTAAAGGTCCAGGCTTTGTTGGCGCAATTCCAGGAATGGTCAATTACTCATATCCAAGGGAAGATAACGCATAAGCAAATGCATTAGAAAACATATGATCATCGACGGAAATAAAAGGATCGAAATCCGGGACTATAGTACAACTGATGAACTAGTCATAGATGCAGATGGTTACTATGAGGTAAATTTGACTAATTTGGGTTGGGACTGG